ATTTATGACTTCAGTTAAAGTAATTTTAAATCTTAAAATTTAATATCTTAATGGTCTATAAGTAATAACTATCAAAAAAATACAATATGATATTAGTTTTAATATTTTTTAATATTTTATATTATTTTCAGCATCTTATTAAAAATTCTATAACAGTTATCGGCGAACGTGAGTCAAATGAAATCAAAATATACTAGAAAACATTTGATATATTATACTAGGATTGAAATAGTTATTTATAATAGTTTAATATCACCCAAATAGAAACCAAAAATTAGTTTGTTATGGTATTTCGACCACCACAGTAGAAATGTTATAAATTTTATTTAAAAATATTATAAATGATCCAAATAAACTTCTATAAGCTAAAAATATAATATTATAATAGATAACTAAAGAAGACAATATGATGTCACTTATAGTGTTCTTTAGTAGTTTTATAATATTCTTAACATGTCAATAAAAATACTATAAATGTTATTAAAAAATATTAGAGATAAGCCAAATGAAGACATTATAATGGCTTAAAACTGATGAAGAAACTGGAGCATATTTTGGGAAAAAAATAAAAAAAGATATTATTATTTACAACTCCCTCTGTACTATTTATAATCATATTTAAAAAAATATTTAATATTTTCTAAATTATCCTTTTATAAATAAATTTATACCCTCTTTTCCTCATATTTTCTCTTTCTTTCTCATCATCTTCTCCTCCGAGTCGATATCAAAAAGGAGCATGGTGCTATAAGTAATAAATAAATAAAATCAGTAATATCATGATTGTAAATAATAAAATAATATTTTATTTTTTTATTTATAAATAGTAAAAAAGATTGTCAATTGTAAAAAAAGCATGAATAGTAAGTTTCAAATGAAAAGGGGAGCTTTTTAAATGAAATCACCATATATATATATATATATATATATATATATATATATATACATTCTAATTGTTACACCGACGGGCTGTGATCTTGCAGTCACTTCACGGTCAACTAACGGACATTAAAATTTTAACAGTCAACTAACCAAGATGTGCATTAAACCGGTGAGCCGGTGAAATGCGGTGGTCATTAATGCCGCTATTAGAGTCACGAGGAGCCCTCATGCGTGCCTTACAAAACGTAGTTGCATATTGCATTGAGTGCTGGGCGTATCTGTATATGTACGTACGTGTCAACCTCATGCGTGCCTTACAAAACGTAGTTGCATATTGCATTGAGTGCTGGGCGTATCTGTATATGTACGTACGTGTCAACCTCATGCGTGCCTTACAAAACGTAGTCGCATATTGCATTGAGTGCTGGGCGTATCTGTATACGTACGTACATGTCAACATGAGAGCGTTCAGAGACGAAGGGACGGACGCACAAATTACATACTTTCATTCGCATGGGTGTCTTGTTAGATCCGGTTAATGCGAGTGAGTGGATCACGATTAAGTAACACAAGCTGCCTCATCATCGTCTGTGCTCTCACTAGCTTGTGAGCTTAATTGTCTTATTTTGTGGTACGTGGTTGTTATTCATCATCAATGCATTTGTTTCTGGCAAAGCATTGTCACCCAAATCAGTAGTTCTTATTCCTCGTAGAGCAGGACAAAGAGAAGAAAAGGTGAACAAACTTGAAAGCTAACGCAGATGGAGGGTGATGGCCTGAGCAAGCAACGTGAGGTTGACGTAGTCATCAGCCGCATCACCCAGCTCCACCACTCCTACACAAGCTGAGGCCGCATCCAGGGCCACGAAGAGCACGGCTCCAGCGCTGGCATAGAACTTGGAGGCTATGGAATCCGCCGACCACCGCAAGGACGGGATCACGTTTGAGAAGATCAGCAGAGCAGCTTGGGCTCGTCTCCTGTCGTAGGAATTGCTCGCATTCTTCAGCAGCTCCTTGATATGTGACCTGATGACCGTGGCCTTGGCGATCGTCAGCTCCGCCGCGATGACGCCCAGGCCCTTGGCGTCAGCCTTGCTGCTCCTGAGGTCGGACTTGAGAGTTCTGATGCAGTATCCTTTGTCGACGTAGCTGTCCTGCACATATTCGCACACGTCTTCGATGGGAGAAGAGGAGATAGCTCGGATGAAGGGTAGCAGAAGAAGAAGAAGAAGAAGAAGAAGCAGAGAGAGGAACACGGAGGGCCTCATCTTGTTTTGCTGCCCTGGCCTCGGCGTGGTCTGCTTGAGTGAAGGTTATTTAATACGGGAAGAACACAGGTCACACAGTTCATTCAATATGGCAATTGTAATAATTTTCGTGGTGAATTTTCTACAATTATTTGACAGAAATAATCTTATAGTCGACACGTAGATTGCTTTTTTCCCGCTGTTCAGCACGACATGTGAAGGATTTTAAAGCCCGAAACCTTTTTTCTTCGCAATAACTCTCGGTGTCTCCATTGCAACCACCACCGCTGCTTCCTCACTGCAAAGCTTTAATGCCCATCCATGGACTCGGTGCAATAAGAGGAACCACGGGTTGGTCGTGAACATTTAAGGAGGCTGTCCATAAATTATACTAAGGTAATTGTGGATAGTAAATCGATTTATGATTCGGTTGGGTGTAAATGTATAGATGAATGACTTCTTCATCCCTCACTGCACTCTCCCAACATTTATGACTTTGTCGTTCAAGATTTACTCTCCAATATCAATTTTATTCAAGACGTAGGCCAACAACATGTTTTCTCGTAATAATCTCCATGCAAGTCGTTGTTAAGGTCAGAAATCGGCGTCCACTTTGCCTTGGAGATTCTGTGAACACAGCAAACAAGAACACGATGATCTTATTCGAGATCGCGGTTTGGATGACAAGCACAAACATGCAAACATGGTGGAAGGTAGCTTATGCCAATGCCTCTGCGAATCGCCTAGCCATGAGCATGAGATTGAAGACGCTGTCATTCTCCGTAGCCAGCACATGGCCCAGCAGCCCCTCGCAGCTCCCCGGGGCGAAAACAGGCGCCTCCATCATGGCCTTGGCGACACCGAAGTGCTTGGACGCCAAGAACTCCGCCGCCAGCTGCAGCGGCGGCAGTGCGTTGCGGTACAGTATCAAGCACGCCTCCAGCTTGTTCTTGGTGTAGGGGTTGGAGGCGTTGGCGTGCAGGGTCTCCAGCTTGGAAGTGGTGGCGTTGGCGTGGGCGATGGATAGGTCGATGGCGATGGCGCCGAGGCCTCGGAGATCTGCCGAACGGCTTCGAGGGTCGGCTTTTAGGGATTTCATGCAGAAGTGGTAGTCGATCGTCAGGTTGCAGGCTTTCTCCATCGTCTCGGTTGCAGAGGAGAGGCTTGAGAGGGCGAGGAACAGAATGAGAAGGAGACCGCAGGACACGTCGCAGGGCCTCATTCTTCGCCACGGATCTCGTTTCAACTCGAGGGTTCGGAGGAAATGATACGTTCATCGGTGAGCTGAATCCTTCGGCACGCAATATAAAGCTCGGGTTCTGTCGTCGTAGATGGTCCGTTGACAACGTGAGCTGCACGTGATACGAGCTCTGAGTCCTGAATTGGGCCGAGCTGAATCCGAGACCACAACCTAAGTTGAGTCGGTCGCCACCAAAACTGGTGGCGTACACGAATGACTGATGTCACGGTAGGGGCTTCGACTGCGGTCTGGGGATCAAAAGTCCTCCTGGGGCCACAATAGATTTGCAGATATATATTGATGGGACGGACACCTTCAGGCTAAGTGATCATCAAGGTCTTCTTGATTCATCATGATCTATGAAGAGCGCCATCCATGGAAGCTGTTGATCGACATGAAATCTAAAGAATTCCTGACAAGAAATATATGCAAGTTGAAGGCTTGCAGGCAATAGGAGTTGGTGGTGCACATTGAAACACTACGGTACAGGCTTTGGTGGTGCCCTTCACAGATCATCACTGACTCGACTGATTCCATTTATTTCTCTTTCAAATCATCATCATCATCATCATCATCATCATCATCATCATCATCCCAATACAACAGCACAAAACAAAGTTACAAGAATTCGAAGTCCCTCCTCCAATGCCAAACGTGAAACGCAGAACGATGAACACATGATCCTATCTCTCGGGAACCAGCGGCCGTTGTGGCCCACTGATGCCACTACAAGAAGCTTCTCTATGTGTACCGGCTTGTGGGCCCTCCGGGTTTTATCGTCCAGAGGGAGACACGTCGGGGCCGGCGAGGACGTTTTCGTAGTTGTAGGGGAATGCTGTGGGTGGGTACTTTAGTCATGTGGAGGCGCCCGAAAGGGTACTTTGACGAGGAGGAGGGAAGGAAGTGACCTTTATGCCCCTATCAGCCACCTGTAGAAGACGTAGTAGCCACCCTCCTCCGCCTCCCGCCGCGCGCTCCCTTCCAAATCTGACGAGTATCGCGCGACCCCGCCTCCGTCACCGCCGTCGTACCGGTGGCTCCACTGCCCAGAGAAACGGAACGAGGAGAAGGAGGTCGAGGCCGAGGATGCGAGCCGGTCCACGTACGCCCGCAGCCATCCCCTCCCTCCTACCCCCGTCGCCTCCGCCGCCGCTGGAGCCGGCCCCGCTACGATAGCGGAGGAGGCAGGCTCGGCCGCCGCTTCCCGTTTCTCCTCCTTCTCCGCCCGTCTTCGGATCCGCGCCACTATTGCCTCCACCTCCTCGTCCACCACGTACTCGAACGACGACCCTATGGAGTACGTCCTCAGGTGCTGCGGAGGGTTCACGGCTGGCTCCGCTTCCGTTGGGGTCCGCCGGCTCACGCTGCCCATCTCGACGCGGAAGCTGCCGGACCGGGAGGGGTTCCCGTAAGTGGCGATGGTAAGAAGCGACGCCGGTGGCGGGGGTGGGAGAGGCGGGGCGGGGAGGGCGATGGAGGAACGGCAGAGAGGGCAAGAAGGGGTGGAGCGGAGCCATGGGTCGACGCACCGGGAGTGAAAGGCGTGGCGGCAGGCCGGGAGGAGACGGAGCTCGTCGTGTGGGCGGAAGGGGTAGAGGCAGACGGCGCAGTCCGGCGAAGACTTGGGGAGGACGGCGAGCGAGGAGGCCAGGGAGAACAACGGGAGGGAGTCAATGAGCGCCTTCTTGTCTTGGTCGGAGAGGCCGAAGTCGGAGGCCACGGCAGCGGCAGCAGCGGACGATGACGGGGAAGAGAAATCAGAGTGGCGGAGCTGGAAGAGCGGCGGCAGCGGCGGCGCAGCAGCGACGGAGGACGAGCGACGGCGCGAGGATAGGAAACGGAGGAGGAGGTGGATGGAGGCGGACGCGACGAAGACGAAGGCGACGATGGCGGAGATGATGAAGAGGCTGGGACTGAGGGATATAGCGGCGGAGTTGGTGGCGCCGCCAGAGGCCTCCGCTGTGGGAGGCAAGTTCTTAAGGGGTCGCAGCGAAGGCGGAGCTGCCATCTTGGTGAAGGCGAAGGAGATGTAGGCTGTGTGGCCGTGCATATATAGTGGAGTCCGGCTTTGCACTCGACTTTCCTTCTCTCTGCTCTCTGTACACATGTATTTACACATTTTAAAGTTTAAAGTATTTCTAATCTCCTCGTAAAAATGTAGAATAATATATATATATAATATAAAATGGAATCACAAATCGAAGAAGAAGGAAAAATACGTGCATGCATTGTTTGACCGATATAACACCAAATCACATTGGATTCGGTTAAGTAGCAGTGAAGCATCATACTTTGAATCTTCGAAGGGGTACAAAGCGTGATATAAATTGCCGGGGAACAGTGAACACTGCCTCCAGATGAAGCCACCGCAGGACATTATTCCCATCAGTTCTCTTCCCGGCCGAGGTAATCTCTGGTACCGCCTCTCCATGGGTGTGCCGTGTGCTTGTGAATGTTCCGCCGTTGATTAGTGTTGTTGATTGACGAGTAAGACCATCAAACACAGGCCAACTTTAGTTCTGAAGAGCCCTAAGCAATCGATTGGCTGCCCCACCTGTGGGTTTACACTTTAGATCACACACAAGGTGGGGAGAGGAGCAGCGGATGAATGATACATGTCGAGTCCGTACCGTGTCTTTGTCGGTGACCAAAACAAAGCGCAGCACTGCATCATCAGCAACACTACTACTACTGGGGAGTCTTTCTAAAAAGTGGCGAAGAATGCTGGGTTGATTGCAGATGATTCAACTATGCCCATCTGTTCTTCCGCTCATCTTCTGCTAGCTGTGCCTCCTGAGAAGGCTTTGATCTCTGTAGCAGTCAGGTTTAAGTTCTTACAGGGGGGATAAGAACAGCCGTCGTGCAGCAAAGTCTCCGCCCCACAAAAAAAGAAATGATGCAACTAAAGCGAGGGTTGATTTGGTCAAGGGAATCATGGTTTGATTTAGCCTTTATTACCGAGAGGAAAGCAAAAGCTTCTCCTCCTCGAAAGCAAGTGAACGTATTGTCCATTGGCAGACCGACTATTCCTTCCTTGTTTAGTGTTAGCTGATCCTCCCTCCAACCGAGGAAAGAGAAGGATCAAAACATCTGCAAGAAATTAACCTCGGTTGCACTACTGCTGGCCTGCGGTGTCTGTGATGGGAAGGAAGAGGCCAATGGCTTCACTGTGGCAATTTCCAACAAAGCAAATAGTTCTCCTCAGCTTTTCAGTGGTTTTGCCCTTCCTTTTTCTATCTGCTCGACCACTGCAAGTTTCAGAGATCCCTTGGAGTTTCTACACAGCTTGTTTCACATCTTCTTGCCCCACAAGATTATGACCTTACTCAACTGCACTTCGAAGCTCTTTAGTCATCCCAAAGACGAGCAGTCTAGATAAGCGTTTGGCGCTGTGATGGCAGTTGTCTGTATCTTCCTGATCTTTTATTCGATTGGACATTGTTCGAGTCAATTACATGTGCCATTGAATTATCTCAATGGGCTTTGAAACTTATGATTGATAAAATGATAAATAATAAGGACTACAGTGATGACAATTATTGGTCACTTGTGTTCAAACACTTGAGGACAAATATGTGTCATGTCATCTCCGAGTCAAATGAGAATGAATACTGTGAAATGGTTAATCAATTAGATTAATATGGCATTTTGATATATATATATATATATATATATATAGAGTTTCATCTAAAACCTTCATCATTCTTGTTTTGAGATTGTGATAAGTATGATAGCTAAATAATGAGTATTGTAGCAATATGGGGGGTCATGTTGAGACTCATATTTTAGTGAATTTGATGTGTGCTCTACTTTAAGACTCCCATCATAGGAAATCTCATAGATCACATAAAAGCATAAACAATTGGTGTATACACCAACAGTATGTGTCATCATTGTCACTTGATTTATTGACCCCCCAACCCCACTATCTAAATACTATGCTACCTCAAACCTTTGTTCTATTTGGAATGGTCCCTTATGCATATATCAACACCTAAACTATGGAAATATAATGTCAGAAGCTAAGATGAATCTCATCATTAACCAATGAACCTTTTGCAAGGAAAAATATATATATACATATGCATATTACAACATTTACTTATTTGTTGTTGTTAGTGTGGATTTGACTCCTTAAGTTGTTCTTATTCTTCATCTATTCTGCACCACAATGTTTAGTGAGGTCTGCGGGGCTTCACAAGCCCTCGTTGCTCTCAATAAAAATTGCCATGATGATGTGGTTGCAAGTGGCTATCTTGCTTTGGATTTCTTTCTCTGCATTAATTGTGCTCCAGTGTAGGTCTCATCATTAAGGAACAACAAAATTGCACATAATAAGATATTATAGCTTTCCCAAATAATTGCTTCTGTCTCTACTTTTTATAGTTGCAGAAGAGTCAAAAGTCCAAGTCTACTTACTAGAATAATGTTAAATACTTGTTTTCTGGTTTGTGTAGAGGCCAGACTTTGGTGGAATTATATATTGCTCATTTATAGGTGAGAGACATGAAGCAAGGTATCATAGATAGATCTTTGAGAGTGTATGTGATAAGCATTCCTGTAGATGCTGCTATTCCTCATCAATTTGGTGCTAAATTTGTACGTATATACTTTTCTTGGACCAGAATGATTCACAAATCTAATTACAAATGGCAGACTTAAGTCAACAGGCTGCATTATTAGTCTGCCTCCCATCACCTGATTGAATAGATCATTTTCTACATCATTTACTAAATCGAGTGAAGAGAGAAAGAGAGAAAAGAAACAATGTCGTTTTGAGTAATATTCTCGAGTGCAATAATAGGCTGGTATGGCATAAAAGTAGTGTGCGATCATGTGAATCATACAACTTCAAGAACTTGAGAGATGGTTCTATCAATTCCTCCATCTCAGTTTAAGTGCCGTGCATGTCAGAAACCATATGATGATACCATCTGCACTGCACTAAGTGGAGACCAACACGAGCAGCAGCCACTGCCAAAAGCTTGGGAACGCAGCAGCAGCAGCAGCAGCAGCCGACCCCATCGAGAGGTGTCGACACGGCGTTCCCGTCGGGGATTCCTCGGGTTCCAATCCCCAACAGGATAGGGAACAAACAATTAACTGGACGCTGTGGTGACCCGACACAGTTACCATGCATTCGTCACAGTATAAGAAGAATACCGTCGCTTGCTACAAGACATTGCGATGGCAGGTCGCGCTGATGCTGTTGTTGGAACGTGTGGTCTTCACATCGTCTTCTCACACACACACACACACACAAGTTTGGTTGGACTCGAAGTATATCTCTTAGTTTGAATTTTTCTTTTATTTTTTATTATAATTTTTTTTGATATGTTTGGTGATAGATCTTAAATAGTCAAGATTTATAATTTTATTTTTTTATTTTCATGATATCAGTACAACTCTTGAAATCTCTGCCCAGTCTTCCATATATGATATCAATTCAACTCTTTAAAATATCTGCTATTTCACTTTTATTTTTCTTTTATAATCTCTCTCTGTTCACAAAAGCCTATCATTGGTCGCCTTCGAGTAAGGATCAGCAAAAGACTGCAAAAGTTCTCCCCCTCTCTTGATTTCCATTTTTCTTGCTCTTGAGACAATTCTTTTTTTTTTTCTTCCTTCATTTTGTTTTTCTTTAGCTTTCATTTTACATTCTGTTGCAGATTTAACCTTTACAGTTTACAGTTCTATTATTCAACCAAGTATATTGAAGAGTAGAGCGTGAAATCTAAAGATAAGATTCGAACCCAAAAACTTACTGATAAGGTATTTTGGGCCCCAACCATGTCACCACCAATGCACACCACTCCCTCGCCAAGTCAGCACAAGTACTCCTACGCGCCAAATATGATCCGTACCAAGACACTCTTCGGCATATCTCGTTTTGAAAAACTCGGGATGGCGTCATGTACTTCCCGCCCCGGAAAGCTTAGGACGATGCCGTATGACGTCGTTCCACGCATTCCAGGATAGCGACTATACAAAGGTACCATCTTGTCCCTTGGGTACCGATCGCCACACGAAACCCGCGGTGACCGACCCTCATACAGTAGTATAAAAACCCTTGACCGGCATCTACCCAAGAGGGAAAAAAAAAGAGAAAGAAGAGAACTGACTCATTCACCGAAGGGCCATTGTCGGGAACCCCCGACAAAAGCCTTCTGTGCAAGAGCACGACCACCCCTGGAAGTGCGACCGTCCCGATCAAGAGACACCAACCAGCATCCCGACCCGCGAGTGTGATCGATCTCGACAACCCGTTCGACCAAGCGAAGACTCCCGACATCGACCCGTGGACTAGACCGTGCTAACTCACCAGCCACGATACATATGTTCACCAACACTTGCAATGAATTATTAATTTTGTTATCCATTTAACTAGTCGATACCTTCAAATAAGATAACAGTACTATATGTGAAAATCTAAAACTTTATGCAGTGACGATCTACAACCATAAGACTGTTCCCTTCGAGTCTCGAAATCAATAACATAAAATTGTGCATTGACCATCCTAACCGAAAATCTAAAAATTAACCTACCTAATTTACAAGCATAAGATCTGAATCAAACATAACCTACAGGTCAGATTCCTCTACTTTCTGTGTTGTATACGTCGAGCCTAAGTCATAGTTACAACTTGATATTTAACGTAAGACAAACACCCTAGTGTGAGATCATAACTACTTCCAGGCTTTCATACCTCATCTGGAGTGACCTTTAATAGCTAATCTCGTTCTCTCTAACAGGATGTCTGCTTCTCTTCAGGCGTCTCTTTGATGCTTTTTAAGTCATCAGCTGAACCTGAGTCAAGTTGTGCCACGGGGCTTTCATCATCAGCTATTGCAGTTTTGGTAGCTTTCTTTCGCTTGCACTGTCGTAAGAATACTGTACATTCAACAAACAGTTAAAACTTGATAGTAAAACTTCCTTGTACAAATGATAGCAAAAAAACCATTCTTTTTTCTAATAAAAATTTATATCCTGTTTAATTCAGATAGAGAAAATTAGCTGTCATAATTGATTCTTCGCTATTAGGACCAATATGCATAAGAATTGTAGAACAAAAATATCATATGAAGTAGAGACGTTAGGAATTATCAAGCAAGTTATGTAAGAACACTCTCCAAAGATGAAGTTCACCAAACAAGTAAAAAGACTCGGAGTGACACACATTTAAAGGTAGCTATATATTTAACTTCTTATTGAATATCTTTATAAACCAAATGCTACAGTAGATCTTTCACTTTTATTCCATTTTCCTTTTTTGGTGAAAAACCATACCCTATGAAACATTCGTATTCCCCTTGAGCAGGCTTTAAAATAAGTGAAATCCCAATTAGTTCCATGTCACTAAAAATTCAAATACTGTTAGCATTTCTCTTCTCAAATGCTCGCAAGCACTTTTTTCTTTATAATAATAAACAAAAATAGCTCAAATTGATAGAAACCATATTGCATCATCAACAAAACTTTCTCAAAAGTATTAGAAAATGTGAGACAAACTTATTTTTGATACCTTTTTCAGCAACAGAGACATCAATATCATGTGGCTGAGGAATCAAAGAACAAGTTGACACAGACCCACATTCAAGTTGTCATGTATATAGCAACTCAGAAATGCATCAACCGTACCACTTAAAGACCAGATTTGTTGACTCAAATAGTAAACCACTGCATCGCCTTGGCATGAAGGAATACCCAATTAGCACGACAAAACATTGTTCCCTCTTAAAAAGTTTGAAATGAAATAGATATTCCAATTGATCCACTACTGCAATTAATTATGACATAGCAGCATGTATCAAAGTCACTTCACTTTGTGCAAATTGTAGATGTGAAGCGGAGAAAAGGCCTGTAGTCCGACAGATATACTTAAATATGATTGAAGATCCACAACATAGAAATAGCCAAGTGTCCCAAACAAGAAAAATATATCCAGACTTCTTTTACCTTTAACAACCAGCACCTTGTTATCGTCTCCCTATCATGCCTAAGCACAAAGGGCTTCTGCAGTTATTCTTTGAACTATCGGTCAATGCCAGACCATTTCCTAAAGGCTCGGACATATTCAAGCCTCCTGTTCTGAGCATCTGTTCTGCAATCTGATGCTTTCAGACTACAGTAAAGATTTTTGTGGTACTTCAGAAACTCCCTTCTGTACTTCCATTTATCCACATACATATTATGCTTCAACATATAATTGATGATTTCCATTGCTCTCTCAAAGTACCCACCTCTTAGAAAATTCCAGAGCAAACAGTCAAACAAATCTCTGTCTGCAGCTAGCATTCCGTATTCCATCTGCCTCCTCATTTCTCCCCACAATATCGTAATGTCACGATACATTCCCAAAGAAGAATAACCATCAACTAAATAACTGAAGGTCAAAACCGTTGGTTGGACATTCCTTCGTCTCATTTGCTTTAACGTCTTTAAAGCATCTTCTATCATTTTGGCCTTGCAAAAGAATAAAATTGAAGAATTAAACTCATAAACCAATTGATTTCCAAGGTTATATTCCCTGTCTTCCAGTTCTAGAAACCGAAGCAGATCAGATTTCTTCACTAAATTTGATGTTCTTTTATCTAAATGATTGGCACCTATATTTTCTACAACACAAGTGGATTCACCATGCTCATCACATACACTAACTATAAAACCAACCTTTTTCATTTGATTTACTAGGACTTTGGATTCCTCCCACATTTTCTCCTTGAGATATGCATTCAAAAGTGATGCATAAGGATTGGCTCCGACAGGAATTTTAGCTAATTCCAAGTCATCTAAAATGTCATGGGCAGTATCCAACCATCCTAACATAATGCAAGCATGCAAGACATCTGAACACAAATCCACTTCTACTATATCTGCCTCTTTCTGTACATTAATTAAGAAGTTAGACAGCTTATCTACGTTCCTTTCTTTCACATAGCCATTTATAAGCTTTGCAATAGCTTTGCTGCTGGGAAGAAATTTACCATCCACAAAGAGAATGAGTCCCGATTGACCTTTTGCAGGAACCAGGAAATCATTCTTCAAGTTCAGTGAATCAATTATGATTCTACTACCCGTCCGAAGATTGCTTGATCCAACTTGAAGGAAGCATTGGGTTTGAGACCCATTAGAATTCACATGTGGCAGCACACTGGAGGAGTGAAGAGACCGTGTACGTCGAAAAAGATCCAACATAAGCTCTGCAGCAGCATCCACATCATTATATTTGAAATGCAAGCACAAAAGACTGTCATAGAACTGCCAATATTGTCTACTTAATGCTGGGGAAGAGATACTATCGATATGCTCTCTCAAGTTGTTCAAGTCACCACGCTCCCCCATCATCTTGTAGATCTTTGCAATAATTACAATGGAATTTGCATCGGCGATAACCCCTACTTGTGGCATCAACTCTATTATCTGTCGTGCTTTTATCAAAGAACCAAATCTTATGCATGATTCCAGGACAAGGTTAAAAATGATAGTATTTGGCTTCATGAGGTTGATATTCTTAGCCTTTCTTGTGCCTGAGCTACAGAAATTATTCAAATAATATTCACAGATCTCAATCAAGATATCCGACGCGAGACAGGACCCAATTCGTGTCTTCACGAGGTGTAAGAACATCGAGCTTAATATATCTTGTGATGGAATTTTGCCTCGCTCCAACACTATCCGGAGGACGGTGGAGGCAGGAACTGGCATTCGGGTTCTGGCTAGAGCGAGGGACAGTCTGGAGAAGGATTCACACCGAACAAGGTCAGGCTTTTCCTTCGAAATCTTAATGGCCAAATCGTAAGCTTTTCGAAGCCAATGAGCGCTCGATGAATAGGAAAGCGAAGCGATCAATTTGCTCACCAGTCGCTGCTCGGGGAAACCATGCAACATTTTGAAGTTGCCGAATGCTTCCCACGCTTCCTCAAGGGAATCATCCGGCAGAGTCGACTCGAACTTCCTCAGCAGGGTCTCGTAGGAGGAGCCTTCCCAAAGGGATCTTGGTTGAACTCTACTCGAAGTATACCGTCGAAACGGATCGCAGCACATTGCAGCACCAATTTCGAAGGGTAATCCGGCACGATCGACCTGAAATCGAGAGAGGTGTGATTAGGAGAACGGAATCATCGGACAAGTTTCCCGTCTTTTTTCTTATTCATAACAAATTCAACAAGAATTGGTATCTAGGGTTGATCTTACGCTCGCATCAACTGTGGACGAAAGGAGGATGCGCGAGAGCCTTCGGTGGAAGGGAGAAAGCCGCACGAGGGAACGATTCATTTGATGCCGATGAAGCTGGTGGTTCGCATCAGAGACGGAGGAGAAGAGGCGTAGAGGGAGGGAGGCCTACCGGCGGTGTGGCGCCATCGACAAGCCGAACGAGAACAATAAGATTAGGGAGGAAAGAGGCACACGTCTTAGAACCCAGACAGGCTTCAGGCTTTCGCACTCAACACAAAATTAATGGACCGGCCCGTGTTGTGAGACATGGGCCGATTGAACCGGCTGTGGGTCACGAATGTTAACGCCCCTCCCATGCGCACACGCGTCGTCAAGCGATCGGCCCGATTGAGATCGGATCTCTATTCCAAGGCGATGCGGTGGATTACTACAAATGTGGTCTTTAAATAGTAGGGTCGATGCATTTCCGAGTTACCATATACATGGCATCTTGAATGTGGGTTTTTATGTCGGCATGTTCTTTGATTCCTCGGCGACATGATATTGATGTCTCTGTTGCTGAGAGAGGTATCAAAAATAAGTTTACGTCTCACCTTTTTCTAATATTATGAGAAAGTTTTGTTGGTGATGCAATATATGGTTTCTATCGATTTGAGCTTGTTTTGTTTATTATTATAAAGAAAAAAGTGCTGGCGAGCATTTGAGAAGAGTAATGCTCATAGTGTTTGAATTTTTAGTGACATGGAGAGTGTTCTTACGTTACTTGCTTGATAAGTTTTAGTGACATGGAGAACTTTTTGTCCTAGAATTCTTATGCATATTGGTCCTAATAGCGAAGAACCAATTATGACACCTAATTTTCTCCATGAATTAAACAGGATATGAATTTTTATCACACTACTTTTATGCCATACCAGCCTATTGCACTCGAGAATATTACTCAAAACGACATTGTTTCTTCTCTCTCTCTCTCTCT